AAGAAGAAGAAGAAGAAGAAGAAGAAGAAGAAGAAGAAGAAGAAGAAGAAGAAGAAGAAGAAGAAAAACAGAGAGTTAATGTAGTTTGTTACATGAATCTCAGGTTCTGAAATAGAAAACATAAAAATGTGATGAATAAATGAAATAATCTAAAAGAAAATGAGATTTACCACTTCTCTGCTTCTGAAGAAATTAAATGTAGAGGGAAAGGGTTTTGCATATAAAGACTGAGAATCTGGCTGACACCACACTTTCAATCAACAGTACCGAATGGCAGAGAGCAGTAGAAAAAGGCTTTAATTCCTAAGTCTATGAATTATAAAGGCCTGAGCATAGCAAACATGGGGCTGACGGGTCTTGTCTTTTCCCTTTCCTTTTCACTTGCTAAACCATTAGATTACATTCTTTAAAAAAAAACAAAACTATTTTTTAAATTCACTTTACATCTGGTTATAGTCCCATCCCTCACCTCCCAGTCCTACCGTCCCTCCTTCTCCCCCTCCCCTATTCCTCAGGAAAGAGAGTCCCTCTTCCCATTCACTGCAGCTCATCAAGTCACATCAGGACAGAGTATTTCCTCTACCCCTGTGGCCTGGCAAGGCAGTCCCACCAGGGGGAAGTGATCAAACAGCTGGCAGGCAAGTCCATGTCAGATGCAGTCCCTGCTTTGCTTACTTGAGGACCCACGTGAAGCTCATTGGTTGCATCTTTGTAAGGGGAGAGGGAGTGGGTCTAGGTTCATTTCATGCACCGTCCTTGGTTGATGCTTCAGCCTCAGCAAGCCCTTCCATTTTCCTGCAAAGTTCATGATTTCCTTATTTTTAATAGCTGAGTAGTATCCCCATTGTGTAAGTGTGCCCCAGGTTCTTTATTCATTCTCTAATTGAGGAACATCTAATTTTTTTCCAGATTCTGGCTATTACAAATAAATGTGCTATGAACATGGCTGAGCAAGCATCCTTGTTGTATGGTGTAGCATCATTTGGGTATATACCTAGGGGTGGTATAGCTGGGTCCTGAGGAAGAGCCATTTCCAACTTTCTGAGAAAGCACCAGATTGATTTCTCAAGTGGTTGAACAAGTTTGTACTCCTACCACATCCTCACCAGCATGTGTTGTCACTTGAGATTTTGATCATAGGCATTCTGGCTAGTGTGAGATGAAATCTCAGAGAGGTTTGGATTTGCATTTCCCTGATAACTAAGTAAGATGAACATTTCTTTAAGTACTTCTCTGCCATTCAAGATTCCTCTGTTAAGAATTCTCTGTTTAGTTCTTTGCCCCATTTTAAAATTGGGTTATTTTGTTTATTATTGATTGATTATTTTAATTCATTATATATTTTGGATATTAGCCCTTTGTCAAATGTAGGATTGATGAAGATATTTTCCCAGTCTTTAGACTGTAATTTCATTCTATTGACAGTGTCCTGTTGATGATTATTAATATTTAATATTGATTTATCTTTTAATTAAACTGTGTTTATTCCTAAACCAGTTGTATACCCAAATCACCACACAGAGACTAGGATTTATTTAATTAACCTAGAGCACAATGCTAGGCAATAATTACTCCATCCTAACCTCCAAGCTTGCATAGCTTCCTCCCATTCAGATTTTCCACATTTTACTTCCTTTTTAGTCATATCTTAGGCCAGGTTCATTTCTCTGATGTTTCCTGGTCCTTCCCTCTTGGATCTCTTCTTCCTCTTCTTCGTTCTCTTCCCCTATGGTCCAGGATGTCCCACCCTATTTTCTCCCTTGCTCAGCATTGGCTGGTTGTTTTTATTGGCAACACAGATAACAAATGGTGGCATGTATACACAAATTTGAGACAGGTGATGCTTGGAATAAACAACACAATGCAATGTCAGGATTGAAACCAGATAATGGGGTAGAGAAATAAGCATTTTAAGGAACAAGGGTAAAATGTGTATACATTCCACAAGAACATTATATCAACAGTGTCCTTTGCCTTAAATAAGCTTTTCAGTTTCAAGAGGTCCCCTTTATTATTTGTTGATCTTAGAGCCTGAGCTGTTGTTAGAGTGCATTCTTAAAACTAGATCCCAAGGTCTATTATCTTTTTGGCCACTGGCTCATGCCTGGGACAAAATACCAAGGTCTAACTATCAAAATTCATCATTTGGCTAATGATTCCAACCAGGATATAACAAGTCATCCTAACACATACTTCCATCCCCCTTTCTCCTTAAAATCCTACTCCTACGGAAACATCTAATGTTTGCTGTTTGCGTTTGCTCAATATAGAGTCAGCCCCTGCCCCTGCTTGACACTTTTGGGTAACAAAACTCGTATGTACTGAGAATTTAGTGTTGAGATGTGTTATGAGCTTTTTCTGAGGGGTCCATCATTACACATAACAAAACTACTGTGTAATTATAACTATTGAAATTGAAATATGGGTTTTTAAGAAAATAATTAAAATTTTTTAAATTGATAACTTTGTAGAAATTGAAGGTGATGTAGCATCTTCAACAAATGGTGCTGGTCTAACTGGATGTCTACATGGAGAAAATGCAAATAGATCCATACCCTGCACAAAACTAATATCTGACAGAGGGCTAATATCCAGAATATATAAAGAACTTAAGAAGTTAAAAAGCAACAAATCAAGTAATCCAATTTAAAATGGGGTACAGAACTAAACAGAGAATTATTTGTAGAGGAATACAGAATGGTAGAGAAACACTTAAAGAAATGTTCAACATTTTTAGCTGCGAGGGAAATGCAAATCAAAACAACCCTGAGATTTCACCTTACACCTATCAGATGGCTAAGATCAAAAACTCAAGTGACAACACATGCTGTAGAGTACGTAGAGAAAGAGAAACCCTCCTCCATTGCTGGTGGGAATATAAACTTGTACAACCACTTCAGAAATCAATCTGGTGCTTTCTCAGACAATTAGGAATAGTGATTCCTCAAGATCCAGCTATACCACTCCTAGGCATATATCCAAAATATGCTCAAGTACACAATAAGGGCATTTGCTCAACCATGTTTGTAGCAGCCTTGTTTGTAATAGCCAGAACCTGGAAACAACCCAGATGTTCCTCAGTAGAAACTGTGGTACATTTACACAATGGAATACTACTCAGCAATTTAAACAAGGAAATCATGAAATTTGCAGGCAAATGGTGAGATCTATCTTGAAATTTTTCTTTAATTTTTATGCTGTAAAGAATAACCAAAGTCAATAGAAGAACCAGTTAAAGACCATGGAATTTAAATAGAGATTTCTGGCAGTTAATTGGGTGAACAGAAATATCTTGCATTTAAACTCTCCCAGTCACTAGGATCAAAGACATGAATAAGCTCACTATGTAACTAAATTAGAGACTAATGTATCATTTTACAGTTCTCTGAGTTTTCAGTGGCTCCATAGGGATTGATATTATTCTGACAAAATTAAATTGTTCCTTTTTCTGAAAAGGATAGTTCTTTTGAATTTGATGACAAGTAGACAAGTTTGAGATAATTTTTATGGCCTCAGAAAGTTTATTGATTTCAAGTTCATTGATAGATATTCAGTCATTCATTTTCAATTATTCAATAATGCAAATTGAACAGTTGCTTTGAATGAAGCATTGCATGATGTGCTACAAGCCCAGCTATGGATAAAACCAAAAGAGCATTTTCAGATTATTTAGAGTTTACTGAAGCTATTTAGGAGTAAGGGGATTCAAAACTTTAATTTTATTTCTTCTTCAAAAATTGAAATATCAGTAATGTCAGTTTGTACATTAGTAAACTTGTCGTGAGAGAATGGATAGACAAAGTCGTCTCTTTTACTGACGTCATACTTGCAGTTTGTAAATGCCCCAAAGTGCACCAATAGTTACTGCTATACACATAGCATCTCCCCCGAGTCCTGCACTTAGTAAAATCTCCATGTAAAGAGGTCCTGGGAACAAGGCATAGTGGTACAGCTGTAATCCCAGGCTTTAGTAGCAGACTTGGAGGCCAGCCTAGGCTACACAGACAGAACTGAATAAGAAGTTATCTCAAGAAATAAGTAATAGCAATAGTTTTGGAAAGCAATTCAAATAAATGGATAAATTATTTCTAACTGCCAGAAAACAAAAACTATTTTGAATCAAGACTGGTTGTTCTTTGTCTTCAAATTCAGTCCAGGTTATCTCCTTGGCTTGGAAATTTTCTGCCTACTTTCTCCAAATGCATAGGGGTAACATAAAGATTGGCTATGTACAAATTCAATTTCTAATAGAGTCTGGAGTTGGGGTTTTTAGCTTTGTGATAGAATGCATGTCTTGTATACCTTAGGCCCCAGTTCTTGAACACACACACACACACACACACACACACACACACACACACACACGTGCACCTTACTGACAGAATCTCATATTTTGTTTTCAAGTTGTAAATGGATGATCAGCCCTTCCTATTTTAGTCTGATTTCATATGGTGTAGTGCCTTTCAAAATTAATTGTCCTATATTAATTACATAATTTCTGTGAAAATAAGGGTAACTAGAAAACGATGAAAATCCAATTAAAATTTTTTATACAAAGTATTTAGGCTGAACTTGGAAAGATTTTTCTCTGATTATTCAGAATTCATGCTTTCAATTATCATGTACATAATGTTTTTGGTATTGGGGACCTTCCTGCATGGAAAGTGGTTCTCCCAGTTCTTCAAGCACTTAAGTATGAGTCTAAAGATACAACTATAGTTATTGCTGATTGAGGACATATCCACCCTAAATTCTTGTCTTTCTGGGGTTTCCCAAACTCTTCACTGTTTGATAAGTTCTATTATTTGTCTTTAAACAATGACTTTCAAGTATTAAATATTAATATATCTGAATAATAAAACATGAAAACATATTTTTAAATAAATTCAACGAATGGTTTCTGTGAAAGTTATTTTTCCTAAGTTTCACTCAAAAAAAGCCATATTTTGTGGTTCTGGTTGTTTTGACATGTTCTTTTTAGGTGAAGAAAATTTAAACTTCCTCAATGTTACTGTTTTTTCAATTATAAATTACTATACTAGTACACCATTTAACTACAATGTTGTAGGTGCAATACTACTGTGAGTTGACAGTATTCATCCCCAAATAATGCTACATCATGACAGATGGAAATAGGAAGAAAGGAATCCATTGATAAGACTCAAAACAATTGTTTCCCCTGAGTCACCTTAGTTATGTCAAGTAAATATTAATAATAAAAGACTGAAACACTTATACGGCATTCATCTGCATATTTTGTTGAAAGTTTAACATACCCTCATTTACATCCAGCATTTACAAATCAAATGATCATCTCACAACATGCTTCATTAAACACCTCCTTATACAGAATAGACGCACACTCGTGTCTCACAAAGCCTTAGGTCAAGAAAGATTATGTCCGGTACATTTTCACGGTAGTTTTGGCTTGTCTGTAAGCAAATAGAACCTTAAAATACTATTTTGGTAGTCAGCAAAAATAATAAACTCTCCACTGTCATGTGTACAAAACATGTAAAAATATGTCAGATGTATGTATCTTATGCTCACACCTCATTAGCTATAGACAAAGCTGCTTCACTATAACAGAAGTGCGGATGAGAAAAACACATGCATGTACAATGAAGTTGCTTTTCTCAGGCAAAATGAAAAGAACAAAATTGTCATTTTCAGGATCATATATGAAATTTCAGGTCATTTAGCTAAATACTCACACTCTAATACAAGAAATACATGAAAGCAAGATGGGCATTCAAGAGTGTGATGGGAAGAAAACATCAGGAATATGGAAGGTAATAGTAGGTGAATGTTACCAAGGGTGGTATGTACCTCTCTGAAAATGTCACAAAGAACACGGTACTTTGAACAGTTAATACACAGCAGTGAAGTGAAAAACAAAGTGAATACAACTTGGTAAGTTATGGACTCAGCCTCAAAACAATACAATTTGAAGAGGGTGAATTTCCCAATATAGTTATAAATGCAGAGGAAGAAATTATTCCCAAGAACTATTTGAAAAGACCATAGAAACACAACCACAAAGTTGTTTATTCTCCTCCAAAATTAGTGAAAGAAAATGATGCATTAAAGTTGGATTGATAAAATAGGAAGCACAGGACCAAAAAAGAAAAATACACCATTAGAAATCTTGAAATAAAAAAAAAAAAAACCTTAGAAATATAGTGTGGCAAGAGAAGATTATTGAATGCAAAATAACAACAATAACCGAGAAACAAATTCTGATTCATTTATCAAATCCCAGGTTCCTGACACAGAAATTTAGCTAGGGGTCCTGAAACAGATTATTAGGACTAAAGGGGTTCATGAATTTAAAATCTGTGGCCCCAGAGTCTTCAGTCAGACACACCTCATACTGGTAGCTCTGAGACAAGGTCCCAGTGCCACTGACATCCACCAGGTGGCCAGGAAAATTTCCCTCAGGCAAAGAGCAGACACCAAGAGACGCTGCCCTAGTTCTCCTGCACAGCCTTACCCCCACGAATAGCAGCACAGACAAGAGAAAGAGTGAAGACACAGATGCCAAGGCAATGACCAGGTACAGGGTGAGCTCATCTTCATCCTGTGTAGGGTTTCCCACGACCTCTGGCAGAGGCAGGTAGGGCTGGGAGAAGCCATCCACCAGCAGCACATGCAGAGTGACACTGGCAGAGCGCTGAGGATCGCCATTGTCCTTGACCAGCAGCAGCAGCCTGTGCTTGGGGGCATCGCGCTCACTCAGCAGCCTGGTGGTGCGCACCTCGCCATTGTGCGCCCACACGCTGAACAGCCCGGGCTCAGTGGCCTTGAGCAGCTGAAATGACAGCCAGGCGTTCTGGCCAGAGTCGCGGTCCACAGCCACCACCTTGGTGACCAGGTAGCCAGGCTCCGCCGCCCTGGGCAGCAGCTCAGTGCAGGGCGCAGAGGCGTTCTGCAGAGGGTAGAGCACGAAGGGCGCATTGTCATTGTCGTCCAGCACCAGGACTCGCACCAGCGCCTGGCTGCTGAGGGCAGGGGAGCCTTGGTCTGTGGCAGCCACACGGAACTCAAAGCTCTGCATGACCTCATAGTCCAGCGCCCTGAGCGCGAACAGCTGCCCATTATTTGCATTGATGGAGACTAGAGAGTGGAGGTCCAGCTGCGGGTCATTGGGCGGCAGCAGCGAGTAGGTGATGTGGGCATTGGAGCCTGAGTCCAAGTCTGTGGCTCTGATGGAGCCTATGTGCAGGGCGGGGCTGTTGTTCTCGCGGACAGACAGGGCGTAGGAGGATTGGGTGAAGGCGGGGGCGTTGTCGTTGATGTCGGACACCTGCACTGTTATGGTGTGCTGGGTTGTGAGCCTGGGTGTGCCCAAGTCAGTGACGGAGATGGTGATGTTGTACTCGGCTCTGCTCTCTCTGTCTAGTGCTCCTTCTGTCACTAAAGTGTAATAATCCTCAAAAGTTGGCTTCAAAAGAAACGGAAGTTCGTTCGGAATAGAACACACCATCCTTCCATTATCTCCAGAATCTGGGTCAGAAACACTGAAAACAGCAACTACAGCATCAGGAGTGTTTTCTGGGATGGAGCTAGTGAGCGACGATATGGTGAGTTTAGGGGCATTGTCATTCACATCCACCACCTGTATAGCTACACTGCATTTGCCTGAAAGGCCTCCAGTGTCTGTGGCCATAATTTCCATATTGTAATATGGAGTTGTCTCAAAATCCAACTCTTTTCTCAGACGAATTTCTCCTGTGGTTTCATCTATTACAAATGGTTGAGATGCTCTACCACCTTGGAACAGAGAGTAGGCTACATCACCATGTATCCCAGCATCTAAGTCTGTGGCAGAGACCCTGACAACCAAGGCATTGAGGGGGCTGTTCTCAGGGACCTGAACCTCATAGAGCGACTGTACAAACTGGGGAGCGTTATCATTGATGTCCACCACTTCAATGCGCACTGTGGTGGTTCCAGACCTGGGAGGGGTCCCCCCATCCAGAGCAGTGAGGGTTAAAGTGAGCTCAGGCTGCTCCTCCCTGTCCAGGGCTCTGTCCAGCACCAGCTCTGGGTTTTTGCTGCCATCTGCGCGACTGTGAGTAACAACGTGGAAATGGAGGTTGGGGCTGACTGTGTAGTTCTGAACAGCATTGCTCCCTATGTCAGGGTCCTCAGCTGCCTTCAGAGGAAACACAGTGCCTGGCTGGGCACTTTCTTGAATTTTTAGGAGCATTTCCCTGTGAGGGAACTCTGGAGAATGGTCGTTTATGTCTGTGAGCTGCAGGTCCATTTGAAGGAACTGCACAGGGTTTTCCAGAATGATCTGGAAGTGCAGCACACAGGGTTCTGTCTCCCCACACAGGACCTCGCGGTCTAGTTTCTCCTTCAAGAACAAATTTCCTGTCTCTGCAACCAGCTGCAAGAGCTCTTTGTTTCCTCTGTGATGGATTCGAGCCCCTCTATTGGCCAGTTCCCCTGCCCTGAGCCCCAGATCTTTTGATAGGTTAGCCACCAAGTAGCCACTTTCAGTCTCTTCTGGCATGGAATATCGAATTGCCTCAAAACCATATCCCCGACATAGCAACAATATAGTGAGAAAAACAACTTGCCTTATCTCTGGCGTTTTTGCTGGTGCTGCCTCCATTGGGATCCAGAGGAAGCTGCTTCTAAATCTTGTCGGTTTTAATCCACACAGATGGTTTGGTGAAATAATCGCGAATTAAATCCTACTGAATTGTTTTCAGAAATCCTTTCCCCCAGATCTTACGTAAATGCCCCCTCCTTTCAGGGAACACCCAGCCTTTTGATTCCCAGGAATGGCGTCCTGGGCATCCTGGGAGACCCCTGTTATACAAATCCTTAGACTGCAGCGCCACCGTGTGTACTATTCTAGTGTTGCACATAATGTACATTTTGTTCGCAGTTCCAGCCCTGCTGTGTTTAAACATCCTTTAAGATACAGAAGTATCTTCCGGTCTTTGCAACCCAAAATTCCAACACATTTGCTAAGCTAATTGTCAGTGAAAGGTAACTTTTTAAATGAACAAAATGGCGTATTGATCTTAAAGAAAGCCATTTTGCATACATAAATCCAATGTTATGTATATCTACAAAATATTTGGATATTTCCAAATTACTTTTCTTGAAATGTAATACACATATGTAATAGGGCCCCCATCTCATGTGTGTAAAATAATAAAGGATCAGCAATTTAATACAGTCCAACAAGCAAAATCTAGATAAAGAAATAACTAAATAAAAATGTTCCCCTTGTCATTCACTAGTTACTGCTGAGGCACTGTGCTGACTTTTATTACCATAGGATATTTTGTCTTTCCTAGAAACTTCATAAAGTGAAACCAGAATATTTCTGTGCTACAGTACTTTTCTTCATTACTTTTTTTCTGGTAAGCTCATCTATGGTGTGCTGTTTCCATTGTCTGTATCATTGCTCCATGTGTTTGTGTTAGTATTTGTATGCATATACTCCATCAAAGAAAGTTGGAGGATTCCAGGTTTGACTTTCATTTGTTTGTTTGTTTGTTTGTTTGTTTGTTTTTCTTTGAGACAGGATCTCTTCTCATTGCCTTGGCTGTCCCCAAACTTAATGTTTAGATCAGGCTGACCTGGAACTCACAAAGATCTTCCTGCCTCTGCCTCCTGAGTGCTGGGATTAAAAGGGTGCACCACCACAGCGGGGCCCAGGGTTGAATTTTTAATATCTCTCCTATGAACAACCTTTCACAGTTCCTGTGCATAAAATATGCATATATAAGATGTATCAGAGTTGCTTGCTGTAGGTCAAAGTGTGAAAATACATTTAGCGTTGACAAACACTGAGAAATATTTTTCAAAAGTAGATGATTACTGAGCCACCCCTGGTGGTTCACCCCTGTACTCCCATCTCTGGGAAGACACACATGGGAGATCACAAACTCTTGGCCTGTGTGAAATAGAGAGTGAGTTGTCAGTGTCTCTAAGACAATTCTTTAAAAGTTGGATATAGTGATACACTTCAATCGTAGACTGCTTACCTGGTGTACTCAGTGGTTTGAGCTCCATTCCCAAAAATATGAAAAAGTATTTCCAGCAATGCATGAGAATTCCAGTTGCTCTACAATCTTGTCAACATTTGATATTGTCTTTCCAGTTTTAACCACTCTAGTTGGTACAAGTACTACAGTATAAATTTAGTTAGCATTTCCCTGGTGGTTAATGAAACTATGGAAACTTTCACATGTTAATGACCATTCACATGCATTCTCATGGTGAGCTCTTTTATACATTTTCCTGTATGAGGCTTTTGTCTGGTGGCTTGTTGGTCTGCAGAAGAATCTATATTCTTAGTATAGCACCCTTTTTGCATATGCATATTACAGATAATTTTTCCAGTCTATGCCTTCTATTTTACCTTATTATATTGTCTTTGTGAAACAAATGTTATTAATTTTTAACTTTGCCTGATCTGTTAATAGTTTCCATTGTTCTGGGTAGCACTTTTCTTTTATTTAAATATTTCCATTCCCAAGTTTATAGGCATTATTATGCATTTTGAATTACTGTTTTATTTTTCACATTTAAAGCTATAAAGAACATAAAAACTTTCAAGTGCATTAGATTGGGACCCGTATTTTCCCAAATGCTTTTACATTCTGGACTAAAAAGATGATCCATTTCCCCAGTGTTTCTGAGCTGCCACAATGGTCACAAGTCAGATAATCAGGAATCATCTCTAAGATTCTTTGAGTATCAAATAATACAGTGCTCTCTTACTTCTCCTAACTCTATTATAGGTTTTATCATCTTCAGGGTAAGTGGTCCTCTGAAAAGATGAGTTTAAAATAATTTTAAATACACCAGAAAAAAGTTAAAAGGCACAGAGAACTCTCACAATTGTGCAAATCTTTCCTCAATAGCACCACATCCAGAGTCGCCCATTTCTTACTGAGCTTCAGTATTAAACATTTGCCTTAGTCCATCACTTTAATTGTGATTCCCTCTATATACTCTACACTATAGATATTTAGATCAATTTATTGTGACATGCATCCATTTTAGAGTATCAGAAAGTAGTTCCCTGGACCCCAAATGTTCTAAATGTATTTATTTATCTCCCTCATTTTTCCCCCTGGATCTCTGAAAATCATTTATCACTAATTTTTTCACTGTCTGCATGCTTTGGCTTTTTCAAAATGTTGCAAAGTAAGAGTTTTCCAACTTGGATTCTGTGCTGAATGTGTTTAAGTTTTCTCAATGCCTTTTCATGGATTTTCAATGCTCATTTCATTTTGGTATTGACTAATATTCCAATTTGTGGCTGCATCAGTCCTTCTCAGCTTCATGAAATGGAGGATCTCCATCACTTCAGGTTTTGAGAAGTGATGTAAAAAGTTGCAATAAACACCCCTGTCCAAGTTTTTGTGTGGACTTAAGTTTTCAGCTCATTTGATAAATACTAACAAAAAGTGACATCTGGGTGACATAGCAAGGGTGTGCTTGATTTTGCAATATGCTGCCAAATTATCTTCTAAAATAAAAGTATAATTTTAATTCCCACACTCCAGGAATCAAGATCTTGGTGCTCCATGTCCTTCTTAGCAGTTGGTGGTAACAGTCTCTTAGACGCCAGCTATTCTGCTTTATGTTTCTCTAGTGATGTCCCGTTATTTGAACTTTTATTTTCCTAGTGTCATTGATATAAAGTCTCCTCCCATGTACTTATCTGCTATCTCTGAATCTTTTTTTGGTACATGTTAGCATATTTTTAAAAAATTTATTATCATTTGTTAAAATTTATTGAATTTGTATGCTGACTGTGGCCCCCGCCCTCATCTCCCAAATCCACTCTCCCTTTTCTCCCCCTATTTTCCTCCCCAAGTCCACTGATAGGAGAAGTTCTCCTCCCCTTCTATTTGACCCTAGCCTATCAGATCTCATCAGGACCAGTTACATTGTCTTCCTCTGTGGACTGACAAGGCTGCACACCCCAGGCAGAGGTGATCAGAGAGACTGCCACTGAGTTAATGCCAGAGAAAGTCACTTCTCCCCTTATTAGGGACCTCATTTGGAGACCGAGTCTATGGGCTACGTCTGAGCTGGGGTTTAAGGTTTTCTTCATGCATTGTCCTTGGTTGAGGTATCATTCTCCTCAGGGCCCCCAGAGCTCAATTTTTACAGCTCTGTGGGTCTCCTTTTGGAGCTCCTGTCCCTTCCAGGTCTTTCTATCTCCCCCATCTTTCCTAAGATTCCCTCTGCCCAGAGTTTGGCTATGAGTTTCAACCTCTGCTTTGATACATAGATCAGTAGTCTTTCAGAGGCTGTCTGTGGTAGGCTTCTGTCCTGTTCCCTGTCTTCTCCTGCTTCCAATGCCTATCACACTTGTCCTTCTGAGTGAGGATTGAGCATCTTCCCTAGGGTCTTCTTAGTTGTTTAACTTCTTTAGGTGTACAGATTTAATATGTTTATCCTATATTATATGACTGATATCCACTTATATGTGAGTATATAGCATGTGTGTCTTCTGCTTCTGGGATACCTCACTCAGGATGATCTTTTCTAGTTCCCACCATTTGCCTGCAAATTTCATGATTTCCTTTTTTTTTAAATTGCTGAGTAGTATTCCATTGTGTAAATGAAGCACAATTTCTGTATTCATTCCTCCATTGAGGGACACCTAGGTTGTTTCCAGCTTCTGGCTATTATGAATAAAGCTGCTACTAACACGGTTGAGCAAATCTCCTTGTTGTATACTTCAGCAATTTTGGGTGTATATGTCTAGGAGTGGTATAGCTGGATAATGAGGTAGCACTGCTCCTAATTGTCTGAGAAAGCATCAAATTGATTTACAAAGTGGTTGTACAAGTTTACATTCCCACCAGCAATGGAGGAGGGTTCCCCTTACCCCACATCCTCTCCAGCATATGTTGTCACATGAGATTTTGATCTTAGCCATTCTGATGGGTGTAAGGTGAAATCTTAGCATTGTTTTGATTTGCATCTCCCTTATGACTAAGGACATTGAGCATTTCCTTAAGTGTTTCTCTGCCATTTGATATTCCTCTATTGAGAATTCTCTTTAACTCTGTATCCCATGTTTTAATTGGATTACTTGGTTTGTTGGTGTTTAACTTGTTAAGTCCCTTGTATATTCTGGATATTTGCCCTCTGTCAGATATAAGGTTGGTGAAGATCCTTTCCCAATCTGTAGGCTGTTGTTTTGTTCTGACGATAGTGTCCTTTGCTTTACAGAAGCTTTTCAGTTGCATGAGGTCCCATTTATTGATTGTTGATCTTAGAACCTGTGCTGTTGGTGTTCTGTTCAGGAGGTGGTCTCCTGTACCAATGAGGTCAAGGCTTTTCCCTTGTAAGAGATTTAGTGTGTCTGGTTTTATGTTGATATCTTTGATCCACTTGGACTTTAGTTTTGTGCAGGGTATAGATAAGTATGGATCTATTTGAATTTTTCTACATGTAGAAATGCAGTTAGACCAGCACCATTTATTGAAGATGCTATCTTTTTTCCATTGTATGGTTTTGGCATCTTTGTCAAAAATCAGGTGTCCATAAATGTATGAGTTTATTTCTGGGTCTTCTATCTAATTCCATTGATCATCCATTCTGTGTCTATGCCAGTATCATGTGGTTTTTACTACTGTTGCTCTATAGTACAACTGAGATCAGGGATGGAGATGCCTCCAGATGATGTTATTGTACAGGATTGTTTTAGCAATACTGACGTTTTTTTTTTTATATGAAATTGAGAATTGT